CGTGGGTAACGAAGAACGTAGTACCTACGGGACATTTGTTAGGATTCTCACTGAAAAAAAGACAAAAAGCAAGTAAAACATTTTGACCTGCAGTGACAATCCATGACATCCACGTCTCTGATCTTTAACGACATAACCTCATGGGAAGAAGACCAAGTTATATTACGGTTTGCTGTGGCGTAACATCTCTCCCCTTTCTCTCTCTCTCTCTGACCGTTCACCCTCTTTCTTCGTCTTCCTTTCTTTCTCTCTCTCACCGCTCCCTATCTCTCTCTCCGCCCCCTCCCGCGCTCTCTCCGTTCCCCCTCTCTCTATATACATATAGAAGAATAGAAAAGAATAGAAAAATGTCTATTATGAACTCTTGATACATGTATATGTCGCGGTTTTCTATTAAGAAGAATAACGCGTGAATACTCACTGGTCAGCCAGCACTCTTGCTAAGTCCGCCTTCCATCTGTCCTGTACACCATCATCCAGACTAAGCATCACAATCTGCGGGATCTGCTGGACGGGCAGTGCGCCGGGGATGACGGTGCCGCTGCAGCGACAGTCCGGCAGCTTGCAGACCGTGTCATCGCACGGCAGAGCCTCGGAGTCGCTTGGCACCCGGTAGCCGTGCGACAGCGAGAGCAGCGACAGCAGCAGTAGAGACACAGAACACCTCATGATGTCGTCGGAAATGATTATGTACACCTCCGAGAGCAGATGAGGGTTATGGGGTGCGCGGTGGCCTTATATAAGATGACTCGGTGGGCGTCTGCGTATGCGCGCGCGCGTGGAAAACTCATCGTCATCGGCGTCAAATCGATAAGATAACGATAATAATCGATAATAATAAAGATTCGCTTTGCACATGAGAATGAGAACTATTCAGAAGCAATTCTTTTGATGTCGGTCGAGTTATCGGGGAGCGTTGTGCACACACAGGTGTTAGAGTTTCCAGCGCTTCATGGACCTTTGAATTTGTTGGAGAAAATTAATCGGGTGTTTTCACGCATTTTTTCGGGTGTTGACACGCATTTTTGAAGGAAATTCAACGGGTGCACGCGTCGCGAAACAGGTGTCATTGCTGGATTAAAATTCACATGGACCAGCCCCTCCCTCCCTTCCACGCCCCACGCTCATGCACGCTTGCGTCCGTTGGCAAGGGTTCGTGCGTGATGCGAATTCATATTTTTGATAAGGTCCAACGCAATCGCATTTGATTTTTGTTTATTCGGGACAATGCCACATAGACGGATATTACTCGCGTGTGAAGTGTAACTTTTTCGTCATGCATGTCTTAATTAACCTTTTTTAAACTTGTGACTACAACGTGTGAGTAGGCCTACGGTGATGGGCCGAATGCAGTTATATTTTTGCGCCAGTACCTCACAGTAATTCTTTAATTTATCAATTATCTTAGGAAGAACAACTCTATTTCTAACGCGCCATAAGAGTTCGTAAAAGGTTATTTATGAAGCCCGAAAAGGGCAAACTGATAACGAATACATGCGTCATGTTACTTGTCACACGTACGCAGGCACTGAGTAAGCTGAATCTTGTTTGGACAATGTTGCTGCAGGGGCCTGTTTATACCACTTTTTCACCATTTCGTCTTTATGCGACCGCGGATGACATCGGAGGTAAAATCCAATGTGCCCAGGACATTCAGCATCAAAAGTTACCCCTACTGAACGTCCGTGGGCCTTTCTAGAGTGCTCCATATTGATTTGTATTGAGAACAGACAAACAAACAGACATACATTCACAAATATGTATTAGATGTACACGTACAACACACGCGCACTAGCCTGTGCTTTTTTATTATTACACATGCACGTATTGCGACATTTCAGACAAATGACAAGTCACTTTTAAGAAGCGGACGTCGATGACAGCTCAGCAACAATTGATTGTGAGAAGTAACCGACGGATACGACACACGACGCAGACGATAATTCCGATGACGTCATCCGCGGGAGATATGAGAGCGATATAGGCAGATGCATAGGTGAGACTAAGAACACATGGCGTCTAATAGAATATAGGATATAGAAGTGATATATACGCGAACGCGCACACAAACACACCCATGTACACACAGACACGCACACACACACGAGCACACAGAGATAAAGAAAGCGCTCGCGCGTGCGTCTAGTGGGGACGTACATACATTTACACGGGAGAGACATCGCACCGTGGCACGATGCAAGCACATACGCACCTGATCATGCATCTCAAAATCCTGGCAAATGCGTGTAGCAAACACGTTCATGTAGCACACACACGCAAACACACACACACACACACACACACACGCACGCACACCCACACACCCACGCGCACGCACGCACGCACGCACGCACACACACACACACACACACACACACACGCACGCACACCCACACACCCACGCGCACGCACGCACGCACGCACGCACACACACACACACACACACACACACACGCACACACACACACACACACACACACACAGAGAGAGAGAGGGAGAG